GAATGATTAATTGGACTCATTTAATTGCAAGATTATGTTTATGATATGATATGAAAGGGGTTCTTCAATGTCTGATAGTTTACTATATTTATAAAGGTCGTATGTAGGTCGAAATCATGTTGAAGTTGGCTTTCGAAAGGTAGCTCAATAACAGAAGGAAACTGTCTCGTCTGCCCAAAAGACGCCATGTGATTCCATAGGGTACTAGGGTGCGAAGGTACCCTTTACTTGTATTGAAATCTACCTACGAAAATTTTGACCATGCGATCGAACGATCTGAACTTTTGGATTGTTCATTTTTGTCCCTAATCTTGCTTTTTTGTTCACTTGAGTCCTTTCGTCGTGCAAATCTTTGGCCTTCTAGTTTTATCCAAGTGACTCCGTTAGTATTCAATCATCCTTCCTAAGTCTAAATCAAATTTCATACATTTGTAATTTGGTCCCCAAACTTTTAAATTCTATATTTTTCACCATTCTTTGCCTAATTTTCATTTCTTTTGTTGAAAAGCTATTCAAACTTGAATATATAATACAACAACGGATATTTAAACAAATTAAGTAGTAATCAATTCAAATAGACACCCAGTTTTGATGGTCCAAATAGGTGTAGAAATTACATCTATCGTATTGTGACTCATTCTATTGGACAAACTGAATTTTACATGCTTTAGTATGTTGAACATGAGGGTGTTCAATCTAGACTCTCCTTCTAGTACCAAATTGTTGGTGGCTATAGCTTGATGTAGTAATTATAGTTCAACTAAAGGAAAATTTAGTGTAAAAATAGGGTTTAGTTGTTGAGATATTATGAAGAGAGAGTGTTTTGTAACGTATAATATAGAAAACATTATCTCAACCCTTCTTTTGGAAACTTTGCCCTGTCATATAGGTCTAACCATAGGATCTTGTGGCCTATATGTCTTGTTTTAAACTACAATACATGACTTTGATTCACATGTCACCTTCTTGCTTGAATAGATTCGATTGGTTGGAGAGTTCATCCAGGTCACCCTTATCATGACAACTAGCTTGTAACCAATAATCTACACCATCATTATCATCTCCTAATTAGTGGGCACATTGCTGACTTCAAAAAGTGACATCATTATCATCTCCTAATTAGTGGGCACATTGCTGACTTCTAAAAGTGACACATTCATGTCTCTGATTGACTGCCATGGGATGTGCTAACATCATCAATCAACATTCTTTCAATTTACTCACGATAATGTTTCCAAATTATGTTGGCTTTTTGCCATTCTAGCTAGCCGTGCCTTATTGTATGACCTCACCTCGTAATTTAGCACTACTAATAATTAAGCTTCTTTAACGGCTTTGGGGGTGAATTTGTATTCTTTTTAAAGGTGATCCTTGAGATAAGACACCAGCAAACATGTATTTATTTTAAGGTCCGTTTGATTGCAAAAATTGAATTGAATTGAATTGAAAACGTATTCTAGAGAATTGAATTGCCTAAAAATTATTTTTTTGAAAATTGTAAATTATTGTGTTTGATTGGGATAATTTTTCATGTGAAAAATGTTGAAATAAAAGTATTTTCTGATCTCCGTTTGACTTTGTTTTACATGAAAATTGTCAATTAAAGGGATAGATTTTACTGGTATTGGAGATGAAATTTGTTTCCATTGCCAACACATAAAAAAAATTCAAGAAAATTATCTATCTTTTGGTGTTCGTTTGATTTTGTTTTACATGAAAATTGTCATTTAAAGGGAAATATTTTTTTATAATAATTCTAAGAATTTGTTTTCGATGTAAAAAAAAATTGAAAAAATAAAAAATGTGCTACAGTAACCGAGAATTCCAATTCTCACCAAAATTGGTGAGAATTGGAATTCAAGAAAAACATGAAAATTAGCATAGGTGGCATAAAAATGTGGAATTCGAATTTTAGGGAAAATTTTGCCAATCAAACAAAAAAAAAAATAAAAAAATTATAAGGATGGAATTTAATTTTCATTTTCTATGAAATTGGGGCGCAATCAAACATAGACTTAGATTAAAAGTCATGTATGAACACGTTGAATATTGATGGAAACACTATACACTGTCATGTCACTGTATTAATTTGTTTGTGGTAGCATTAATCTGCTCACTTACCCTCTATTTGTCTGTTGCTATTGAACCATGAGAAGTATAGTCTTCGTCAAGATAAAATCAAAATCACAATCGCGATCACGATCACGATCACCTACAATTATCACCTACAATTTAGGTAATTAATTAGTTAGTACCAAAGGTCAAGAAGTGAAACCTATAAAGTATGAACTGCCTTCTTTTAATGTTGAAAGTGACCATTGACTCTTTTTGTTTAAATTTATCTCTTTTTACGTCAAATATCTATTTTATTCTTGTTAATAATGGCCTTTTCCCTCTTCAATGTCACAGTATTATTAAGTCCTTAATCCTCAAAAGTGTTTTCATTTTATTTTTTTTGCAATTAAATTGAGAATTTTTCAATCTGCGATGGTATTTAATAGTAATTTTCAAATATATTAATTCAATAAAAATGAACAGTAAAATGTCTAAGAAACCATTCAATTGAAATCAAATATTCACATTGTCCATACCAATGTTCTCTCTTTCCTCCAAACGGTCTAGTAAATGAGCAATTTAATTCATGTTGAAATTTATCTAACAAAATAATTATTTTCTATGATCAGACAAATTTTTTCATTTTAATTGAACACCAAAAATCTCTTTTACAAATATTGAACATGATTGTGTATACAATTTGAACGGTCAGGATAGGTTAATACTGCAACTGAATATCGAGATAAGGATATCGTGTACTAACTCTTCATTTTACTCCACTGAGGTTGGGTTCACCCAACAGGGCCAGTGCCTTGTGATCGATGGTCGGCGAGCGATGGCATCTGTAGCTCGAGGATTGTAAGGGAAGATCATATTTTCTTTTTTCTTTGTTTATTTTATTTAGCCTCTATTTGATGGAAATTAAAATTATATATATAATTTATTTTTATTTTTTACAGATTTTGATAAAAATTGATTAAATGTGTGATTCAAAAATTGTGAATTTCATAAAATATGTGGTTAAAAACTAATTATTAACTTCGACTTTAATTATTTTTTTAAAAAAATGATTGACTTAAACTATCGTTTGAAAAAAAAAAACATTTGTACACTTAAACTATAGATCGAGGACGTTTGTGTCAAAAAAAATTTAAGATCAAAATCGTACAATGACTATAGATAAAGTTATAGGTGTTAAATGCAACGAGCCTAGCTAGCTTGCAATCACCTACGGGGCAAGTCCATGAGCTGGCTACTCAATTGAAGTGTGGCTCGATTGTCCTAGATTGGTTGAGATAAGCCGGCTCATCAATAATTTATTTCATTATGTTTTATTGAGATTATATTTTCATAAACGAGCTTCGAGCCAATTTGTGTAAATTGCTCAAAATTCACGGTCAGTGAACCAAGTCACGGCTCGCTCAACTTAACACCCCTTAACAAAGTATTCATATATATTTTCTCGTGCCTCTTAATGCTCTTAGATAATATATCATTATACATTTAAAATAAACAATAATTAAAAGTATACTGACCATGAATAATCTCTATTAATTAAAACTTTAAGTCAAGTGACCACTAGTCACCGAATTGCATTCACGCGAGCAATTAATGCCGCAGTCACACGTCAATCATCCAAGGGACCACAATATTTAGCACATGTTTGATGATCCTTATAAAAAGAAATCGAGGAAAAATAATATTTTGAATATTTTTTTTTTTTGAAAATTGTAATTAAAAAGCCAAAAAAAAGTTTTAAATTTATGTGTAAAATATTTTAATGTATAAATATGTAGTGAAAAATTAGTATGAAAAATAAAGAGTTTTAATTTAAAGAGAGTCACACATGGACTTGTAATTTATTTTTGTATAATATTTCCTTCGGTAAAAACATTAGAAAAGTGATTACCTAAAAAACATTAGCCCCTGTTTTACTATCATTAAAATGAGTTTTTTTTGAGAAAAATTTTTTTGGAAAAAATATTTTTTTTGGAGAATATGTGGTTAAAATGTAAAATTTTTTTGTATATTACGTGCAAAATATTTTATTGTAAGAATGTGAAGTTAAAAATGAATTTGAGAAAAAAAATAGTTTTATTTTAATGGTAGTCAAATGGAAAATTTTTTTTTTTTTTTTTTTTTTTTTTTTTTTTAGATTAAGCCAATGTTTGATCCCCATTATTCTCAAAAAATATTTTTTCTCTATTATTTTCAAACAAATATTTTTCAATAAAATAATATTATAAATAAATTCAAAATTTTTTCTTCTTTTTTAACAATACATTATCCATCAATCTATTATTTCAAAATGCATTATTATAATAATATACGGCTCAAACAGGCATTAAATAAAAAAATGAATCATTTACTTCACAACGGATGAAATTATTTCATGTTGCAACCAATAGTTATGTGTGATGACCATCATTCTTCAATGACACATCATTGACTTTTGTCAGTTGAATTGAATCGAGTTATTTTAATCGAAATCAAATTAAAATCATAAAAAAGTTTAATTACCTAATTGAACAAAAGTAAAGTATAGTTACTTATATATAATGTAATTGAGACTAGGAAGGAAAGTTTAATTGTCACGAATTAAATTTTTTAAATTTTATTTTATCTCAAACTCATTTCCAACTAAACCCCACCATTTGATTTTTTTTTTTTTTAATTTTCGATCACACATTTCATAAACTCTTTTTCTACTAAAAGTTTTTTTTTTTTAACTAAGTCAAATCAGGGTTAGTAAAAATAAATTGTATCCTCTTAATCTCAATTTATTTATCTTGGACATTACTTGCTTTTTTATACTATTCCCATTTTAATCAGGTTTTTCGAATATATTACGTATTTACCCCTACCATGGTATATATAATAGTTAACATCGAAGATGTCTCTGTGCAATAACACAAATATACCTAAAACTACGTCGCAAAGCAGCCATGATTAATGCAGCTGAATCTATGGTGGCTACGTTGAAAAGCTGCTTAACACCAACTGTTATCTTCTGCATCTTGAACCTCACCATTGCTATCATTTACATAACTTCATCCCTTAATAAACATCTTATATTCGGTGATCATGAGGATAACTCTCGACCACAGCTCTTCCAAGTTCCATCGCCGCTCGAAGAAGTCGAGTCGATCAACCTCCCTGTCTACCGCTCCGAACAACCCGACCGGTTTGGCGATGCCACCGTCCCTCAAGAACCAACCCATCAGCAAAAATATGAAGCTGAAGTGGAGATTATGAAGCACTGTGTATATGCGGAGGAGAGTCACATGACAAGGAGCATGTCTGACGCGTGTGTGAAAGCTCCGGCAAAAAGGGAGTTGAAGAAGTCAGCGAGTGAGAAGGCGTTTATGGCTGAACTGGAGGAAGAGGCGGATCGGCAGTGGCCGGCGACGGCGAGAGAGACGAAGAAATTGAGAGAAACAGTGTCGGACGGCGAGAATGAGGATGTGGATGCAAAAGCTGATGATTTCATTAACAGATTTAGGCAGCAGTTGAAATTACAGAGATTGGACTCCATTTTGATGTACAAGAAAATGCTCGATAGAAGGATTTGAAGCCGAGTTGAGATCCGATGTCCAATTTTTTGCTGTCAAATTTTCTGTCCACCAATTAACTGCAAATTGAACAGCAAAAATTGGACACCGAATCTCAACTCTACCCTGCCTTACTAGGTTTCTTGAGTCAAGGCGCATGGCTTGTTTAGTTATTTCATGCTTGCTTAGTTCGTACACAAATTAATAAACAATAAATATGTAAAATGTGGAAGATAGAAATCAAAATAGAATCATAAAAGGATAGAATGAGCACTGAAATTTAATGCTTGACCATGTTTATGTTGTCTTAAAGCAATATCTATCCCCTCTCGACCTTCAGAATGTTTATAAGATACACCAACAAATAGCTCTAATGATTAAACAAGCCTTGACGGTTAATCACCTCGCAATAGAAAATGACATGAAAGAACAATGAAGAATTCTCAATGTTTTGATGATTTGTAATTTTTAATTTATGGATTTTTTATTATATTTTTCTTTTAAAAACTATCAGTCAACTGTTGGAATGTAGAAGCGGAATTATCCATAAATTTAAAAAAATAAAATTAATTCAATAAACAAGATCATCTATATGTTCACATGTATGTTATATCAAGAATAAAGAATTTGAACTTTTACCTAAATTCGATGGTCAATTTTTGAATTAATTATGAGTCACGAACTTCCAATCTTTTGGATCACGAACTTTCAGTTTTTTAATTTCAAGAACTTAATGTTTCAAACCTCCAAGTCTTCTATTGTATTCTCCACTGTTAAGATTATACCAGTGGGTCGACGTCTTCTTTTAATTAAATCAAAAATCTAATTCTTGGACTGAACAATTGAATAAGATGAGAAAATAATTATTTTCTCTTTCCAAATTTAAACATTATATAATTATGTATTACAATTGTTGTACAATTTTATAAGATGTCTTGTTTCCATTTAATCTCTATTTACAGAGCCAGTCCTAAGATTTATAATGCCCTAGGCAACAAATTGTCATAACGTTCTTAAATATGATTTTTTAGTAAGCATAGAAGTCTCTTTAACAACAATCATGATCTCTATAGCTTTCGAAAAATAAGTACTTTTAGAATAAATAACATTTTCATTTTTTACTTTCATAAAAGTAAATTTATAAATTAAAGAAATTTTATAAAGTCAGCAAAAAATTATATGGGAGATTTATTTAATTTTTTTAAGGATTGATTCTTTTTTCAGTAGATCTTGGTAAATAGAAAAACACAACAAAATCTAGCATTAGCCAATAGTTTAATTATAGATCCATTTTATTTCTCAAAAAGAATGTAAGATAAATGTTGGTATTTTTAACCAAGTGTTTGTTCGATTTTGAGAAATTAAAAACAAGATTTCGAAAAAGGAACAAGAACACAAAGTATTTTTCACCCTTAAAGGGTCCGAATGTTCAGTCAAAAAGACCTCCTCAAGCGTCGAGCATCGAGCATCGACTAATTACAGATGTATGAAGAAATTACAGATTTCTTCAAGTTCTCTCTAGCCTCTCTATTTGAAATATGGTAACAACAAATCTTACACAAAGATTTTCTAAACAACTCTCAACACTCAACTACAGAGGAATCATCACGAAGATGAAGGTTATCATTTTTCTAAAAACCCTAGTTCACACACAGATAGAACAATCGAGAGAGAAAGACTAATTATCTGCCGAAAATGAAGAGCCCAAACTTAAATACTCAAGACTAATCGTCACAGATCAAAGGGCTGCCAAGAAGCCACGTGTACGGCAGAAAGCTTCCCTTGAGAGAGGCAGAAAACGTTATACACAAAAGAACGTTTTTGATAAATGGACCGGGTAATAAACCAATTAAAGAAGCCCAGCCTTTTAGAAATAGCGAGGCAGCCTAAATTTATAACAAACTCTAACTTGCTGAGCTATTTCTTGTTTCAATTAATGGATCTAGAGACCGCACTAGCTTCATTTGCTCCCATAGCTTGTAAAAACAAAAATTAGAAATTAGTTTGAATTCTATACATGGTTTAAGATTCTAATTTATCACTAATTGTTAATCTTATGTGATATTCAGAATCATTAAGCAATTTTTGAACTTGTTTAAGGGAAGAATCTTGATACCTAAATCAGAGGAATTATATTCTGTAGGGATCTTGACTAAAGAAATCATAACTTTTCCAACCATGTTCCTTACAAAGTGGAATTTTATGTCAACATGCTTTGTTCTATCATGATAGTTATAAGTAAATATTCTTACAGAATCATTTTGAAAACCAATTTCATTTAATAACCCTCTTAACCAAATACATTCTTTAACAGCATCACATGCAGCAATATATTCTGCCTCCGTTGAAGATAATGCAACTAATTTTTGCAGTTGTGATTTCCAACTGATACAACTATCACACAGAGTAAAAATATAGGATGAAGTAGATCTTCTTTTGTCTAAGTCTCCAGCAAAGTCTGAATCACAATAACCCTTTAGAATTATACCTTAATTGCATCTTTTAAAATTTATTCCTAAATGGCATGATCCTTTTAGATATCTAAGCAACCATTTAACTGCTAACCAATGAGTTTCACCTGAGTTTGCCATGAATCTACTCAAAATACTTATTCCATGAGCTAGGTCTAGTCTAGTGCATACCATAAGATACATTATGGATCCTATTGCATTAGCATATGGAACATTTTTCATTCTATCAATTTCATCTTCAGTTTTGGTGACTAATCGCATGATAATTTGAAATGATTTGCAAGAGGCAAGGATACAGATTTACATTTAACCATAGAAAACTTATCTAAAATTTTCTTCACATAGTTTTCTTGTTTTAAACACAGCATGTAATTATTTCTGTCCCTTTCTATATCCATTCCTAGGACTCTTTTAGCTTTTCCTAAATCTTTCATTTCAAATTTTGATTTTAGTTTAAACTTAACAAATTCTATTTCAGATTTATCATGGCATGCAAGTAACATGTCATCGACATATAACAGCAGATAAATGGATTCAGGACCACCAAAGCCCTTAAAGAAAAAACAGGAATCATAATTACTTTTCATAAACCCCAAGGTTTTCACATAAGAGTAAAATTTTATATACTACTGCCTGGGAGCTTGCTTAAGCCCATAAAGTGATTTTTTCAGAAGACAAACATGTTGGGTCTTTGATTTTACCCGATATCCCTTTGGCTGATCCATGTATATTTCTTCATCAAGTTCACCATTAAGGAAAGCTGTCTTGACATCCAATTGTTTTAATTCCCAATTGAAATGTGCAGTTAATGCAAGAAGATTCCAATTGCGGTGTACTTAGCAACTGGTGAATCATTGTAATCTACACCTTTCTTTTGGGTAAAGCCTTTTGCTACTAATCTAGCTTTATACCTTTTATTTTCTGAGTTAGAGTCTCTTTGTTTTATTTTGAAGATCCACTTACAATCAACTATCCTTTTGTCTTTTGGTCTATTCACTAACACACAAGTGTCATTTTTTATCAGGGAATTCATTTCATCATCCATAGCTTCCTTCCAGAACTTTGAGTCAAGACAACTAACAGCTTCTTCATAAGTATTTGGTTCTGAATTCAAATAATCCAAACCAGAAAATAAGGTGATAAATTCATCAGTATTAAATCTGGTAGAGGGTATTCTATTTCTCCTCTCTCTATCTCTTGTTAGTTGATAATCAGTAAGGGATGTATTTTCAGATTCAAATACAGGTTCAAGCTGATCACTTTTAGCTTCAGATTGAGTGGTCTCCACCTCAATCTGATCAATAGAGCTTTCAATTTGATTTTTCAGAACAGTTTCCTTTATGATTGTGGATTCATTTGATTTTGGTCCAGATGAATTCAAGCATGGCATATCCTTTTCATTGAATATGACATTTCTACTTATAATGACTTTAAAACCATTCTGTTCCTTAACCCAAAGTCTATATCCTTTGGTTTCCTCTCCATAACCAAGAAAGACACATTTTTGTGATCTAGGTTCCAATTTTCCTTCATTTTGATGAGCATGGGCTGCACAGCCAAAAACTCTTAATTTTCTGTAATCTGGTATAGTTCCTGACCACAATTTTTCAGGTAATTGAAAGTTAATAGCACTTGATGGACTTCTATTTATAAGATAGGTTGCAGTTTTGAGGGCTTCCCCCCAGTAAAATTTTGGTAAATCAGAACTGTGTAGCATACACCTGACTTTTTCTAATAGGGTTCTATTCATTCTTTCAGCAACACCATTCTGTTGCGGGGTGTATGTCACAATTCTGTGCCTCAATATACCACTTTCTTTACAAAAGAAATCAAATTCAGTATTACAAAATTCAAGTCCATTATCAGTTCTAAGTGCTTTAATTTTCCTGTTAGTTTGATTTTTAATAATCAACTTCCATTGTTTAAAGATTTGAAAAGTATCAGATTTTTGTTTCAACGGGAAAGTCCATGTTTTTCTTGAAAAATCATCTACTATTACTAGATAAAATCTAAAGTCACTCAGTGTATTTACAGAGGCTGGTCCCCAGAGATCAGCATGTAAATATTCTAAAATGCATGATGTTTTATGAATTCTAGGTTTGAAAGATTGTTTTTGGTGTTTTCCAAAAATACAGTCTTCACAAAAATCTAACTTGTCAATGTTATCCTTTCTAAAACAACCAAGTTTATTTAAGAGAGGAAGACCTTTTTCTGAAATGTGACCAAGTCTTTTATGCCAAATTAGAGACTGATTTGTTTTAGGATTTACAGCTGTGGAGGTGGAACCTACAAGAGGTTCACCAAAGATAGTGTAAATCCCATGTGTCGTATGAGAGGTGATGACTTCCTCATTGTCATCATTTATACTTATAAGCTCTTTATGAATCACAATGTGGTATTTGTCATCTAACTCCCCTAGGGATATTAGATTTCTTTTTAAATCAGGTACATATCTTATATTATTTAACTCAAGTAAATAGTTATTGGTTAACTTGAGTTTCAACTTTCCAATATCTTTAATCTGATAACTTATGTCATTCCCCATTTGAA